ACACGCACTCCCCAAACTGATAATACCCTTTACATGAAATCGATAAAAGAAGAAACCAATTTAGGACGCACATGTAATACTTCTTATTGGCCTGCTTATATAAAGATCGCCCAGGTTTCTCTTAAGGTTGAGTTCATTGTCACTTGAGCAACTGGCAAGATGGTCTACAAGTTTTAATTTACTCTAAACGTCTTATTTTTCGTCCTTTGCTAAATTTTAGATGAAAATTAGTGTTCACTTCTAAATTAAATTTAATTTTTGAATTCATAAATAAGAATAATATGGATTCATTTCACTTAAGCTTCTAAAACCCTTATGCAAACGTTGCCAGATTTCGTAGGCGAAATGACTTAATTACTTTGCCTTCAATTTCGAAGTGCTTGAATATGTAAATCAGCTGTGCGCGAATTGCTTGAACCGACTTACAAATCAGCGTTAATTATAATTGATAGACTAAACTAAACGTAGTAAATGAAGTAGTTGGCAAATTTAGCATAGTATAGAAATGAAAAAATCGGTCATTAGAAATATTACGGATTCGTTGGGATAAAATTTACATGTGTTTCTTTATTAAAAAAATGCATTTTGTTTTGCTAAAATATATTTACTTACTTTGAGAACTTAAACAAAAAAATTGGAAGTTTACTATAAACCTTAAATATTCTTTTTTTGTGTCAGAAAAACACTATTCTTTTACAATTCAATACAAGTGTGAAATTCGAAGTTCAGGCAGGCTATTGAGCGGCGCGAATGGTGGTCTAGATTAGCATTCCTTAAGATGCTGAAATAACCATTGGCTCACGTCAATAAATGTTTTCAAATTCAATTCCACTAGAAACGCTTCCATTGTCAACGGCTTCATGGAGTCCACCATTATGAGACGTATAGATTTTTGTACTATTAACGGATAGTCATACCAATTGCGAGAGTAAATAGCAAAGCCCAAATCAACAGTCTACAAGAAAGAAAAAGACAGATAATGTTGTGCCATTCACTCGTCGTTCGCAACAAATGCTAACAATTATGAAAATATTCCGTAACACAGACGTAGTCTATTTTTAGTAAGAAGCTTGAATTTTTCCTGCATAAATTTATTCATTAATATCAGATCTGCCAACATTTTGGAACTTTATCGACTTTTCTACATTGTATATATATTTGAGAAGAGCTGCCTCCAATCTTAACAGTATTGTTACTCCTCACAATGTTATTGTAATTTTAATTATGTTGCTCTATAATATCGAGGAACATATGCTCATCTAAGACTTTGCAAAGTATACACGCGTGTAATCAATGAGCACATTCGAACCTATGAACCTTATAAGCGGAGAAGGCCGACCATTAATTAAACAGCTTCGTCTAAAATAACAATCATTCATTTTTTAATGATATTTCAAAAATTATGCTTTGTTTTTATGTGCATATTTTTTTTTTATGTTATGACCAATGGGTCGCCGCCTGGTCGTGTAATATGGTGCCGGTTAAAAGACGGCGAGGAAAGAGAAAGAGACAGGGCAGAGGCCGCAGCATAGTGAGTTTTTTTGGTGTAGGTTTTTTTAAGGAATGCTAATCTAGATTGATCTCGCAGGGAAAACTTGAGAAGTGGCATACACGAGCAAACAATGGCATAATGAAATTATAATTTGCACTTGAGAATGGGCTTTGGAAAAGATGGCTACATACATACACGTGCACACACCCGCAATCATTTTAAGCAAAACAATATTACTATTGCGACTACTGGGAAATGTTGGAATTATGTCTCTCTCTTTCTCTCCTTTTTTTAGTATATTTGCCAGACATAATGTATTATACGATTTTCTTTCATTTTGCTTATGTTGTTACTCTAAGTGATATAACTTTTCTGATATCAACAGGGTTGTGAGAAAATTTCGTTTTTTTAAATAAAGAGAGGGGACCAAAAAGACACCATTTTTTATGAAATTTTTACAATTGTAGCAAAAGGCTACTTCAAGTATTTTCAACCAAAGAGTTTGACTATTTTGTTGATTTCATTTCGAATTCTTTTTTTTTGGTTTCCTTTAATTGCTTTAAAACCGCACAAGTTTTTGTTTAGTTAGTTACTCTCTAGAAATCAACTGCATTTATAACCATTATCACTTCGGTGCATTACTATTACGTACGATTAAATGTGTGCGTATATATGGTTCTTGCTGGAAAACTCTTTCACTTGGTCTCTAAATTAACAAAATTCTAAGTTCGTACAATTACTTCTCCGCTAAATTAACAAAATTCGAAGTTCCTACAATTACTTCTCCGTTAAAGTAACAAAAATCGAGGTTAGCTCATTCACTTCTCCGCTAAAGTAACAATATTGGAAGTTGGCTCATTTACTTCTCCGCTAAAGTAACAAAATTCGAAGTTCGCTCATTTACTTACTCTCTCAAGTTGCGAAATTCGAAATTCGCTTGGGTACTCAACATTCAAATAAAGTTTTATTTTTAAGTACTGGCAGTTCCTTAAAAGCTTACATTATTACCTGCACTCTAAGGTATGCTGCATAAAAATTCATGAAAACACTTACAAGAACACATCGGAAAAAACACTTATAAATCTCGTAATACGGTGCATACGAGTTCTTTTTTTATACCTAAACACTACCAGGAAATTTGTGCGGATATGTGATAGTATGCAGACTCGAGGTAAAGCCTTTTTTTAATATATGAGTAAACTCGGTACTGTTAACTAAACCGATGTCTGTCAGTCTATCTCTCTATTGGGTGTTAACGAATTCTTGTACTTAAATTACAGGTCGCAACGATCGATTATTTTGACGAAACGTGCTATACTGATATGTTTTAACCCAAAGACGAAAAATCATTCTATGAAAAGAATTTGTGATTTTCACAATTTCTCGACATTTCTCGACAAAAATCGGTTAAAAGTAATGTTCTAGTGTATTAAGTAAATGTGAACAACACGCATAGCTTGAGATCATTTTCTGAACCCTTACAAACGTGCTTATAAAAAATAGAGTCATGTGGCAACAATTTATATGTAAATATACTAAGCTAAACTTTTTTTTTTTTTCTATTCGCGTAAAACGGTGACGGGTGGGAAAAAATAAAGAAAGACTTAGAAATAGGGTGGAGCTGGCCGCAGTCTAGTGGGTATGTGCCCAATTAGTAAGTGTTATGCCTTTACCGGCTAGTAGCACCAGTTTATAGCTACGACTAAAGCGAACTCTACTGCATGGAGATTTGAACCCGTAGACACTGACTTACTAGTCACGATTCTTATCCACTCATCATCGTTTTTGGTAACTTATGGCGAAAACAGATAAAGACTGTTTTGAAGCGAAGTTATTTCACTGGTTGGCGGTGTAAGACTATAACGTTTTAACTAGCTGTGGTAAAATACTTTCACGTAAAGTGGAGTTTTTCTAAGCTACTTCCACTGAATTAAATGTGTAAATTATAACTAAAGTATAACTAATTGCGTGGTTAGAATGAACTTTTATTCAATTGAGGAAATTTCGCCGTGTCAATTTTTGTCTTTCTCTCCCTCTCGATCTGTCCCTCTCCTTTTATCTATAGATATCTCTCTATTGCTTCCTTCCCCATCTCCACGGCGACCATCTACACCTGCCATCTCTCTCTCTCACTCTGTCTCTCTCTCTCTCTCCCTCCTGTTCCGATCAGCCACTCATTTCTCCAACAACCTCACTTATTTCTATATCTCTTTTCTGTCACCCTATTTTAGCGCCAATGAGTTCAAATTTTATTTATTATAATTAGCCAATATATTTAGACGTAAAAAACAATATGGAAAGCCCTAAATTTTGCATATATTCTCGATCAACGCTAAGCACGATGTCAATCCAACGGCTTCACTCTTTTTGACTTTCTTCTACAAGCATTATACTTAAATCCACCAAATTTTCCTGAAAAAGCAAGCTAAAACCCTTACGACTTCTGTCTGCACTTCACTTCACTTTATACCCAGGGAATGCCCCAATATCTTATACATTATAAGACCATCTATGTAATATATCGATGTAACGAACCTTCGCGCTTCTTTGAAATTAAAACGGCTAGTGTGGGAGTTAAAAAACAATTGATATCAATTTTTTTTTCCTTTGTTGTTACAAACAACATAGCAAATTTAATATGCCATCTCTGCATTTATGTAATGTTAAGAGTACCCAAATTTGTGCATGAATTGACGACGATTCACATATCCTATATACATATACATATATATACATATATACTTTTGCCTTAAAATTTATTATTACGCAAATTGCAAACAATACGGTACTTATCAGTAGTAGCTGCAATTCATCTAAAGTGAATGTTGTAAACCAACTTTTCAACGTATAGTAAATGACTTAGAAGATAACATACACTGAACACCCAAAGTGAAAAAGATAAAAATGATAAGTAATACTCTCACCTTAGCTTATATTCACTTATTCGTTCAGCTTGTAATTTGGTCTTAATTAGTCACACAGCGATATTAAATAATAATATATATTTCCAAGTAGTAAGTAAAAGTAACAACAACAATAAATTATCTACAAATGCGTTGAAAGCTCTGATGCCTTGAATTTTTAATTTGAAAATTGAAATAGAAATGAAAAAAAAAAAATTATATAAAATAAAAAAATTACAGCGACTTTTCGGTTGTTAATTTGCTGAATAACAGAGGAAGAAGACAGAAAATAAAAAAAAAATTAAGAAGCTGTTATTATATAAAACAAGCGAAACAAACAAAAGTCACTTTCTTTAAATGAAATAGAGCCTTGTTTGTATGCGGCAGCAAAAAGAACAACAGCGACAACAACAATAACATTTTTTTTTTTCATTTTATTCATTGAAAACAATCACACAACTGTATAACTTTAAGCGTCCTCGCTTCGCCTTATTTAATCGGATATATGCACAATATGATAAACGGTTCTTTTCAATTTTCAAGTAAAAAGAGAATAAAATTAAAATTTTATTTAAAAAAATTTTTCATCTCTTTAATATTTACAGGCGACGACGACTCGGATAATAGCCCCCATGATTTCGAAAGTTGTGTCTCCGATTTGGAATACGGGCTTTCCGACTTAAATAACTTAAATTATAGTTCATATAGTGGTGGCGGTATGCACTCCCATATACAGGTGCGAGCACTACAATTCCTCTGATTCATCTTGAAATGATAATATATTTTCTGCTTATTTTTCAACTACTACAGGCTGATCTGGATCGTCAACATTTACTGGGCGACACGTCTCGCAACAGTGTTTACGAGAAAGTTGTAGCCGACGGCATTGAAGACCTCGAGCATCAAGAAAGGTACGTAAATAAGAAGCACTTTATTGTGATTGCATAAAAGTCATATGATATTCGGTGGTCGTAATGACGTCTTTAACTGAAACGTTCACGCTTCTGTTATTTTCTGTTTTAAATGTCAAATAAGACATTTTAAAGTTAACTTAAGTTTCATTGACTTTATTATTACATACAAAAATGTAATAAAAAGAGCGGTGAGAGAGAAAGCGACGTTTAAAACAAATCTTAGAGACACTCATCATTCTCACCTTTAGCGTACATACAAAAAAAACTTTCTTTTTTCGATACATGCAATTGTGTATGATGTTAGATCGGATCACAAGTAAACTCTGGTATAGGTCGGTAGAATCGTACTAGTGTCTATCACTTAAACACTATAATATATTATATTATATATTAATATAATATATTATATTAATATCGTCAATCAAAATATAGATCAGACGGTCGGAGATTGTAATAAACTCACGGCTCATTGTACAGCTAACTAACTAACCAGTTCGGTAGTAATGTGGTATATAGTAGAGCGGATAGCGGTCCACTAACGCTTCTTTAGCTGCTTCATCTTCCGCGGGCATATCTTTACAGAATTCATCGAAATATTCAGTACTGGCCGGGTCAGATTTGGTGTTAAATAAGCGCTCGTTTTGGCGAATGTACTCATCATATAATTCCTGCCACAGAAATTGTTCGTAACGTTTATTACGAGTTTTTTGTTTCAATAACTATCGGAAATTTTTACTGAAATATTCCATTTTAAATAAATGAAGAATTTATACTGAATACCCATAGAAAAGCATTCGAATTTCTATTTTGAATGTGCCCCCTTTTGTTAGCAAATCTAAAATTTATATAGAAGAATATTTAATATATATTTGAATAGCATTTCATTGGTACTATTTGTAAACATAAGATGTGTCCTTATGTGAAAAATAAACACAAACTATTTTACAACAAGCGTTTGCTAATCATACAAAACAATCACAAGACATAGACCAAAAAATAATAATGTTCAAAATGTAGACATTTTACGTGGCAAGTTCGCCTTTCTGTTCCAAAAAGTTCGCCTCCCGATTGTCTAGCAAAGCGGCAAAGAAAAAATTAAAATAAAATAATACAATGTATTACCAGCGCTATTATTTTATGTTGATATGTTGATATAACCGATAAGCAACCGGGTAACAACTGTTTTAACCCGTCCCAGTTGTATGATCAGGTATAGCCGCATGTTTCTATAGAGCTGATATGAATAATCGATTGCGAAGCGCATTAGAAGACTCAATGAGACAATCCGATAAAACCGATCTTGATGCTTGGAATCATATACAAAGTTAAATGATGTGTTGTGGAATTGATAACCCCTCCGATTGGCGACTAAGTTTAAATAAGACTTTACCGGGCAGTTACTGTCGTCCTCCATACATTGAGGAAAAAGTAGGACACTGTTTCGACTCACTAGCTTTGGGTAAAGACAAATATTTCCAAGTCTAAAACTAAATAATATGTCAAAGTGGTAATGTGGCTGTTTCCCTCAAGAAATACGCGTGCAAAAAACCCTTATGGAGACAAAGGGACGCACGAAACTTACTTGTAGGATGAACCGATCTTATGCCCTAGCCCACTCTATACTTGGTCCTACGATTAGTCTACTTCGTCCCATAATTTTGAATCTGAATCGAAGTAAGCAAGAGAAGGGAATTTTTACTTTCACTAAACAGATACGCATCACTTAGTCTACCGACAATTCGTTTTGTGCGCTGAACTTTTAATTGAACTGTCATAATCTCGAAAACGAAGTGAACAAGCGCACATTTGTTAAGTGATGTTTTGGGAATTCTGATAGGGCAATAGTGAAAAGACGGCAGCTGAAAAAGTGTATGGAATGTATAGTGATGGTCTAATAAATGATCGGGCAGTTAGAAATCATTCCAACAAATATCGTTTTGGAAAGACAACTTTAAACATCCTTACAGTTTTAATGATCAATTTTTAAAGGCAAAACTGGAGCAAAAGCTATGTCAATCAACAAGAGATATAACAGAAAGGTTGAGTACATCATTATCCACAGTTTGCCATTAAATTATATTTCGTTAGCAAGTTAAAAAGTGGAAGGCACCTACCTGATGAAAACTTTAGCAAGCCATCAAAAACCCCCAATAAGGTTATGGTTATGGATAGGGTTGTTATAAGGCATCCTATCCATCATGGACCGTTTGGGAAAAAGAAAAACTGTATACAATATGTGGAGCTCGGGATTCAATTGAAAAGAGGAATCGCTCAAATGACGAAGAAAACAGTGCTCTTTCATAAACGCAATATACCGTATCAAAAGCCTACAACTACAATAACAAAATTTAATACAAAACTTAAATTGCTGCTGCACCAACAATATTCCACAGATCTAGAACCGTGCGAATGTCTATCTGTCTACAAATCTTTAAAAGATGCTTCTGGGAAAAAACTTGAGTTAAATGATATGAGCATTAGGGAACTTAAGCGCATTTTTAAGGTCTTGTTAAATTTTTCTAAGAAAAAAAGGTCAGGTCGATTTGGATTAGTTGTATCTTTTGGAAGGAAACCCTGCTGATGAATTTTGAATTGAGTTTTGTAAAAAAAATAGAAATATTTCTTGCACCCTGCACCATTTGAGGCACGAAGAATTTATGCAGAAAGACTCGAAGTCGGCTTATCTATCATTATACCTATTCATTTAGCATCTAAAGTGTTTCTCACTTTTTCTGTCCGTCTGTCCGTCTGGCATTCTTAGGTTCAGCCTAAGATATTTGGCATATTTTGATGAAATTTTGGCATACCGACTTGTTTTGATCCTAAGACAATTGGATTGGGCCACTTTTGCGACTTCTTCCCATATCATACCTTATTTTGAAAAGTCGTTATATGGTGGGTGATAATGTAAGTTGAAGTGATATAGGGTATGTAATGGTGAGCACTGTCACACTATAGTGTTTTTACTTATTTTACTTAGTTCCAGAAACTGAAAGTATATTAAATTTATGAATATTTCCTTGTGTACGTGAACACATGAATGGGCGAAAGTACGAATTGATGTTAAACATTTGTGATGCGCAGTTCCGCTTTAAGCCAGCTATAGTTAAGCTGTGACGTCAATGTAATGCCGTTAGTTGTGAGGTATACCCACATTTATATCACTTCTTAGGACAAGTTATCTATATACAGACAAAAAGTTCACATGTTATCATCATAAAGTTTCATGACCCAAATTTAGGAGGACGGTTTAAGTAGATCAAAGAAAGTGATAAAAATAAACGAAGGAAATAAGAGCAATGGGGAGAAGAAAGACATGCTACGGCTAAATATAGAGATTGTCTTAAATTTTTCCCTTTTTCTTTTTGGAAAAAAAACCAAAAAAAAGTTGGCTGAGCTTACACACAACAACAAACCAATATAAAGTTTCTTTAAATGTTATGAAATGCTTATGTTTTTATTGTAAACTAAAAACTCATGAATCAATAACGATATGAACTAATCGTCGCCAATGCTTTAACGTTTATAAACTGCAATTACTGCGAGTTTATCACATCCTAGAGAGAATCGTCAAACAAACAAAGTTTTGTATTTCCAAACACATAAATTTAAAGTAACATGAAATGTAATCAATTCGCAAACACACTGCACACACACACACACACACTGTTCATAGTCGCATGTGTGCAAGCTGGGGCCTACCACACAAATAGTACGGAGATTGTATAAAACCGCAATAATGGAAGCAACCAACCATAAAACATTTTCTGTAATATTTAGTTTGATTAAATCGAACAAAAATGTAATTTATATTTAAGTATATATATAACCGGTCACAAAAAAAAAAAAACCAGAGACGTTGACACACATGAAAAAGGTTTGGAATAGTACCGATAAAAAAATTTCAATAGCTTTCAATAGCGTTTCTATCGTCACTTTTCATGGCTGTAAGTGTCACATTGTTGAAATAAAATCAAGCCTTCACTAGTTTTAAAATGCCATTTTCCATGTGTTTATTTATAAGGTGTATTGAGCCGTTGGACACATTCATCATTAAAAGTGTTATACAATTTTTTTCTGTTTAAATAAGAAAGCAAGTTCTATTTACTTTCCAATGAATTTATCATAAGGTCGATGGTAGTCGTTTTTGCATCGAGCTATTAAGTTGCGAACAATAAACATTTATGCCGGCTGCGGCGATTCCATACTATAGAGCATGAACGTTTTATTCTTTTACTTCTTCTTTCTTTTTAGGATAGTGATGATGGGTATAAAGCATTCGACCCCGACCGAATTTAACTTTCTTACTATAACAGACATTAGAGAGACAGGCGGATGATGCTTACATCGATTTAGAATTTTACTTTATGAAGTCTCTGATGCTTCCTTCTGAGCGTTGCAAACGTTTTGACAAAATGAATATACGCCTAATCCTTCGGTGATGGGTATAAAAAGAGGGGATTGTTTAATAGAATTGATAATAATATCTTACAACTAATTAATGCTGCGATCTGATGAGGACTATCATTATTAAGTTGACCAGAAAGTTCTGTCGTATTATATATAAAACATTTGAATTTGTTCCTCCTCAGATGGATGCTGAATTTCTTTGTACGAAGTCAGTGTTCGCTACTTCAAATATCATTGCAATGAAGTTCGCGTTGGTCTTAGCTATAATGAAGCTCGCTCAGCCCGTAAAGGCATGTCACTTACCGATCGGAGAGCACACCCACGAGGCCACGACTACCTCTCCGTCTCTTTCCGTTTCTTCATTCCTTTTTGACCGTTTCCGCTTTAACGTGAGTGGTTCTACACATTGAAAAAAAACAGGATGTGGGTTATTCTTCAACATGGTCCGCAAAATGTCCTTATTTTCCAGACCTACAATTTTCTTTGGGACAGAAATCAATGGAACGAAATTTAGCAAAGCATCTTTGCAAATCCGAACATTTACATCGTCACTTCTCGACGTAACACATAAGAGTTTACAGGCAACC